TTCATTAATAACATTGTCAAATAGAATTTTCTCAATCTACCTACACAATTGGAGGGATGATGTAAGATTTTAGGCGGGGTCACTTTAAATTTTAATGGTGAGTTGTTACTTGCATGGATTTACAAAATGAGTATGTATTATCATTCTATGTCAACATTGTAGAGCTCGATCAAAGTGGGGTCACTTGACTTTGTTCCATATAGAACTGCCAATGATAGTTCTTATATTTTTCTATCTTTTACTAGGGTATACATTAAAACAAAACCAAAAAGTTTAAAAACTCACCACATGATGACACCTCATCTTGCTCCTACACTAAATTTTTTAACATGTGTCATATCATCTAATCCGTCCATTTAAATTGTTATATCTCAACCTTTAATTCAAATAAATATATTTATATATGAAAAAAATTAATTTATAATCAATTAGAATATGTTTGACAATATCTTTAGTAACTAATTCAAATTACAAATAAAATCAAATCCCTTTACTTAGGCATTTCCTTTCAATATATGGAAAAAATATATAAATTTCGGTTTTCTTGAAAAATTAAAAATTCTATTTATCCCGAAATTCCATTTTATTTTTGTGGTCACTTTTCTCGTCTTAATTTTTTTATATTTCAGTTTTCCCGTCTTAATTTTTTTTAAGAACTCTGGATTTATTTCGATCTCTAAAAAATATATCAGGTAATTAATCTAGAACCATCTAATGTTTATGTTATTTTAATTTGTCTATTTTTTATTTTAATTGTTTTTGAGTTTTTTGTTTTTCAGATTGTCGATTTTTAATCCCTATTCCGAATTATTATTCTGATCTCCGAAAAATACATTAGGTAATTAATCTAACACCATCTAATATTTATGTTATTTTAATTTGTGTATTTTTATCAATTTTAATTATTTTTAAATTTCTTATTTTCTAGATTGTTGTTTTTTAGTTCTTATGTAAATTTATCTTCAACCCACGGTTCATTAATTGTTTGGAGGAAAATAATTTTGGTACTTCATCTACCCCCGTCCAACATAATTTTTATTTAAATTTGCGTAATATTTTTTAATTTTAATTGCTATCAAATAATATAAAGATTCATGTACTTATTCTACAACCCTTGAATAATTATTTTCAATTTAATAATTTTAATATTTTAGATATTATTGTAAAAAAACAAATCAGTGATTTTTAATCATTAACCCACAATGCTTTTGTTTCTTAGAGAACATAATTCAGGTATTTAATATATTCAAATATTTAATTTAGGTAAAAATATATATTTCTGTGATATTTTTGTGATATTTTTAATCATTCTACAACCGTTTGATATAATTCTTGTTTTTATTTATGTAATACTTTTTTAGTTTTATTTGTTATATAAATATTTATTTTTTAAAACTAGAGTTTTAATTCCAATCTACATATTACAATTTAACTTTTTCATTTTCATTTAAATGAAAATTTTTATTTTACTAATTTCTAAATTTAATTCGAATTCAATTATATTTTTTGATAGTTGTGAAAATATTTTTTTAATTATTTATAGTATTTTTTAAATTAAAATAATCTTAAGATTTTCACAATAAATATATAAATAGCTTTTTAAAATATTATAGTAATTAAAATATATTTTTAGGTTTTTAGATTATTATAGTGATAAAAAATCATAAAAATTTATTTTTAGATTTTAAAAATATCATAGCAATTGTAATAAATTTTTAAAAATATATTTAGGTATTTTTAAAATTTTAGAATATCTTTGGTAATATCTTTAGTAAGATATCCATGTTTGTGTCAAAAGTTGATTTCATTGCCAATGAACTCAGTACAACCGTTTATCGATTACAAGTTCAAAAAAAGAAGAGAAAAGTAGATCTTTTTATAAGATCAACTTATACAATAAAAATAAAAAAAATACAACTCTTGTCAAACAACACAACAGCAGTTTATCTCTTGTTGCTTATGTGTGAACTTCGCCTGTGTTGAGGATGCGTTAGTCCGTGGACCGTCACGGATCAGATCCATTTGATAGATTGATAATCAATGCTCTTACTTCACGAAGGAAGTAATCGCAGCAGCGGTAACCTCGATCAAGCGAGATTACGGCTCTTCTCGAGATTAAGAACAAGCTTAAATCCGGAGGAATAGGGGGAAATAAGTCTCAGATCTCTCGAACTCTCACTTTTTTTATTGAGGAACTTCGCTAAGATCTGCTAACTCTCTAAAATTCGTGCTCCACTCTCTAATTTGATAGCACTTTACCCTATTGATTATTATTATTTTTTACCCCTGAGAAATGAGCCACCAGGCTTATATTTATAGGCTTCGGTTAGGGGATTTTGGGATAAGAATGATGGATTCAGCCTTATCTTTAGTTAATAACTACGTAACCATGTTTGGAGATGATATCTAGGTGGTTAGGAACCTTTAGAAAAGAAGAAATCCCGTGATAACCCGTTAAAAAACCGCCAAGACGCGTTTTTGGCTCAAACCTGGTCGAACCACTATTTGGTGGCTCGGCCTATGGCCGAGCCACTGGTTCTTGGTCGAGTCGTTTTGATGTGACTCGGCTGTCAGCGGCTATTTTAGTCTTTCAGGTTTTGACTTGTTTTGTCGTTACGCGTATTTCATCGTTTTGTTGACTTGTATGCTTCACCGATTCGAGCAAACGAGCCATTTGGCGGTGGCCGGTGAGCACGCAAGCCACTTGGAGCTGTCTGACAAGTGTGCGGGCCACTTGAAGGTGGCCGATGAGCGCACGGGTCACTTGATTTGTCGTTTTAGTGACCGATGAGCGCGCGGGCCATTTGGCGGTGGCCGGTGAGCACGCGCGTTGGCCATTCCGGTGGTTTGTCGCCATGTCATCAATGGTTCACTGATTCACTTCATGCGTTTGTCGGTGTCAGATGATCCTCTTTGACTCGGATAATCCTCTTCGACTTGGATAATAACATTCATCGCATTCTCTTTGTCTCGAGCAGTGTACGGATACCTATAGGCATTTTAGATGCCTACAGGTACCCTCTCCAAAGTATTTTAGACTCATTCTTTTATAGAGGAGTCTGTAATGCTTTGGATAAGATAGGTCATGTTTTTAACCTCTTCAGTATTTTATCGAGGAGATTGTGTAGAAGAACATATGGATTGTTTCAATTCTTTACTTCTTCAGCCTTCAATCTATTTAGTATTTTGTTGAATAGATAAAGTTCTTCTGACGCTATG